TGTTTGTTTCCAGTCGTCAGAAATTCTCTCACCAACATCATCTCTCATCCGAATATTATTTTGAGCCTTATTCCCTGAAAACACAACAAAAATACCCGTGATCCCAAAAAGTGCGTTTATGAAACAATTAAGTTAATTCATGCGAATTAATCCTAATTTCCCACAAATGATACCTATAAACCACTAAGTATAAGTGTATTTTCAAGCACTTATCATAGAGCATTCTTTAATAGCTTTTCTTTCTCTTTATTCTTTAAGTTCTCATACATATGTATATGTATGCATGTAGATGGCTCATGCTTGTTATTCTTTCTAAATGCAAATGTTTAAATGCAAGAATGCCATGTAGCATAGAAATAAGTCATTCTCCACCATCTACAAACTCATATCAAAATCACAAGTGAATAAACTCATGCATACACTTCTCTTGGACATTTCATCAAACATATTGCATGCACACTCAAACTTTAATTTGGCACACTTCTACTTCTTTCTCAAGCCACCAATATTTGGAGTAAAATTCCCTTAAAGCAATACTAAACCTGGCCAGGAAAATACACTCCAAAAATTCCACTCAAACTCTTTCTAAATTCAACCAAACTTCCATCAATCACCATACAAGCTATTCCACTTCTCATGGCTCAATTTTATTCATCAATAAACATCAATCTCATCAACAATTCTCAAAATCATAAGCACATACATACATGTAAAAAGTCTCTATTCAATTGATTTCTCAAATCATAACTTGAGTTGGATTTACTTACCTTGAGAGTGAGCAACTCAACACTCTAATCTTCCCTTGACACAACTTTCTTTCTCTTACACCCTTGAGGCTTAGGATTGAAAATCTACCCAACTTAGACCAAATTCTATGGAATTCCTTTGAAAATTGATTGAAAGAAATTGATAGAATTTTGGGTAGAAGATGGCGTGAAAGGCAAAGAAGAATGGCTAAGGTTTAAGCTTAATCTCTTAATATAACAAAAATTTACTCGTAGCTTCCCATTTGACCCTTACACTTTCCATGAAATTCCATCTATGTCCCTTAGTCAATTACCAAAATGTCCTCATTCTATTGCATTCTCCATGAAATTCTATCTCTTTTCACTCCCCACACTTTCAACTAATTATGGGTGGAATGACCATTTTTCCCTTGAGCAAGATTTTCCCCAGATTTACTAAAATTTCCAGGGAGTTCTTCACCCCGACGAAGATGCCTGTTTCTGCCACGAGTTTAGGTAGAATGTACAATGCCGCGGTAAAGTCTGTGAACGTTTTCT